TCCTTACTGTCCTAAGAGCTGGGATCGCAGGTGTGCTCTATCATCTCCGACTAGTGCTCCTATCCTTACTGTCCTAAGAGCTGGGATCGCAGGTGTGCTCTATCATCTCCGACTAGTGCTCCTGTCCTTACTGTCCTAAGAGCTGGGATCGCAGGTGTGCTCTATCATCTCCGACTAGTGCTCCTGTCCTTACGGTCCTAAGAGCTTGGATTGCAGGTGTGCTCTATCATCTCTGACTAGTGCTTCTGTTCTTACTATATGGGTTTGTCCTCACATGGAGTTGTACAGATGTCCTGACAGAACTTTGCTACCTTCTCAGTTTGAAGAGAATGATTTTTAAAGCTTTATGATTGAGTCAGATGTAGGAAATGCCCTTCTGTGCTTGTTTTGCCAAATATGTTCATTGTAATGGAATTGAGTGTTACCAGCGCCCTTCCTTTTTCTTCATTGTAACCATGTTGAGTGTCACCAGCACCCTCCCTTTTTCTTTATTTTGTGATAGTATTGTATTATGCCTACTACAGAGTGTGGTAGATTATAGTCGTAGGTTTATTAATGTGAAACAAGTAGTGTTCCCTACACTTTTGCTCTGAAGGCAAAGAAACAGGGACTGATGGAGCCAGTTACGCTAGGCACTGAACTCCCTTGCCTCACCCAAGCCTCTTATTTATTTATTTTTTAAAAAATAACACATTGCTGGATTTGGCTGGCCTTGTTATTTTAGATTTTATTATAATTTATATGTGTACATCTGTTGGTAAAAAGAACTGTATTGCCCCTACTTTTAAATCAGCTTTTTATGTCGTTCCATTATGGGATACTTATTCACACTGAAATAGCTTAAAGAATTGTGATTGCTATTTACAAAGGGCTAGTTTTGACAGTTAGATATATTCTGCCGTTTTGTGCTTGCACACATAAAAATGAAACTTTTCACTTTATTTAATTTCATTTTTATATAACACTTATATAACATTTTCCAGTGTTATGTTTTTTATATCACAACTGCCTTAAAATTCCAGTAAAGCAATTGAGGTATTAGGATTGTTCTGCCATGTTTCTTCATGCAGAACAGAATCAGTGAGCAAGAAACTCCCTCTTTTGTTGGATACTCCATTTAGTAGAAATTATCCACAGTTTATAGGTGATTCCAAATGAATACTTGGCAGTAAGCCTGAAACAGTGTCCAGAATCCCAGCGTTCTTGACCTGAGGGAGACACAGGGAGATTAGTCCTTATGCCCTGTTTCCCTGGAAGCAGAGCTGGGAATAATTTTTTTAAACTTTATCGTGGACTGCTGACATATTTCACAACGTTATGAGTTATCTGTAGATCATCTTTCCATTATGCCATCATTCTTGCTGAGGGTGCTTTGCATAGCTGAGGCCATGTGTCAGGGAGCACTCAGGGTGATGTACGTGTGAGCAGATCTCCCGGGTCCATCTGTGGCTCTCCAGAGTTTCTACCGACTGTGAGGAGATGGCCTTTGGACATGAACATTCAACTTCTCTTTGGATGACCCTAATCAGGCCCATGGCATTCTTTGCTGCACAGTGAACCACCAGAAGTGATGGAGGGAACACAGAATAATGTCTTTGTAGTACCTGTTCCTCCAACGCTAGTCACACACAGCTCTACACTAAACCAAGGACTGAGCATCTGTTGTCATCAGGATACCTGTGTCCTATCTGGCCTTGCTGGCTGAGAAGAAGGAGCTCCTGGCTCTTCTTCAGTCTTTGTACATGTGACTGATGAGGTGGTAGAGATGGAACTTCCTACAAGTAAATGTGCTGCAGAGTTTTATGTCAACTTGACACAAGCTAAAGTCATCGGAGAAGAAGGAACCTCAGTTAAGAGAATGCCTCCAGGACTGGAGAGATGGCTCAGCCATTAAAGGCTAAGCTCACAACCAAAAATATAAGAAAATGCCTTCCGTAAGATCCAGCTGTAGGCAAGTCTGTGGGCAGTTTCTTAATTAGTGATTGATGAGGGAGGGCCCAGCCCATTGTGGGTGGTGCCATCCCTGGGCAGCTGCCCCTTCCCCTAGGTTCTAGAAGAAAACAGACTGAGCAAGCTATGAG